AAAGAGAAAATTTTTTTTTATTTCAATTTTTTTTCCATTTAGTAAAGGTATATAAAAATATATATTAAAAAGGTATAGTAAAGGTATATAAAAACATAAAGTGTAGTAAAGTAGGATTTACTTTACCACAAAACCTTGAAGTATTGGAGTGTATCTTAACACACTAGATAACTTGAATTCTTTTAAACTTGAGTTCATATCTGAATAATACGTTTTCCCCGATTCTTTGTATAATACAGTAACTTGTAGACTTTGAGCTAGAATACTGAGCGTATGTTGATGCAGAGTAACTTTATTTGAATTATATAAATACTATGCTCACCACTCTGAGTATTGTGAAGATTGAAATGAAAAAAAAAAAAACCAAAGTGATGTTTGCTTAACAGCATGTGGGTTTTTCTCTCCCTATCTAGGAAATTACAGTCGTCGTGAAGGCGCTCGAGGCTCAAGTTGGAGTGCACAGAGTACACCCAGGGGAACCTACAATGACAGTAGAGGTGGTCAAAGCAATTTTAACAGGGGTCCACTGCCACCATTGAGACCATTAAGTTCTGCAGGTACATGGTATTCATATGGGCATCGAACTATAGAAAATTCCTTGAATTTCATTTTTGCTTTACAAATGAAACCATGCAAGGATGCTGCAGACACCTTGAAATTCAGCAAATGTTTTAAGCATATATGAACAGTTGTCACTGAGACTGTCAAATACATGCGTTTGTACGAACAATCCATAAAACTTGCTGAATTGAACACTTGATCGCAGAATCTTAATTTTGCATTCAGATTTTTGCAATTCAGTTGTCTTCGTACCTACATGGTAATTATAGAGCCAGTCAAAGCAAAAAATGCTTGCCTAAAAGAAAAGTGAAAATTAAAAGGAGAAAACAGACCCTGTTTGTGTCTCATCTTGTTTTTGTTTCTTATGCTTTCCCAGCAGCTACTACGCCTAGGGCTTTTTTTTTTTTTTTTTTTTTTTTTCCAACTGAGTATACTTTTCTTTGCTTTAAGGCTACCGACCGAGTCCTCGCGATCGTGCTTCCAGAGGCCGAGGAGGAATTGGACCGTCTTGGACAAGTGCTAATAGTAGTAGCAGTGGTGGCTCGAGAGGGAAGTTTGTTAGTGGAGGCAGTGGAAGAGGTCGTCATGTACGTTCCTTCACACGATAAAATGAGACCTAATGGAACAGCCCAACCTTGTGTACTTGTGTGAAGATAGCAAAGAAAACAGCGGCACTAAAGGACCAATTCAGAGTTACTAGTATCTGGAGGACACCAAGAGAATATTTTTGTCTGAAGAAAAGTTTTTGTTTGATACAAGACTTGCTATTTCAATAAAATCCAAGACTTTTTGTGTACAATTGTAAATTTTTTTTGTTCCTTTTGAAAGAATGTTTTAATTTTTTTGTGGACTTCAGTAGACAATACTCAGTAAAGAACTTCTTTGAGTTAAGACTTGAAGGACTTCTAAAATATTCATTGTGCCAAAAGAAAGGTGCAGGTGTTTTGTGCGTGTGACTTATTACTGCAAGAGAGTTAAATATATATATGTGTAAGGCAATTTTACTTTTTTCTCTCAGGTTTAGAGCCATTTGTCCTTTTTTTTTTGGTCTGAGTTATTAATGAATGAGGTCCATCTGACAGCAGTTGAAGTAGCAGGTGATAGAAGATTGACTGAAATGAATTAATCTGTGAAAGAATACAAATGGAAATGTTATTTCTGTAGGTTTTGTTGTACATCTTTGGTAATGTGATTAGACACTTAAACAAGATCTGTTTAAAATTAGTAGGAAATCTGTCACTGACTTCAGGGAGAATAAGGTTAACGTTTGCTTTACAACTCCAGCTCATGCATTAGGACTACAAGAGTTATTTCACTGGGTAAACTATGTTTTGAAGTTAAAAGGCAAGATACCAGTGCCCTTAGAGAGCCTGGAGTTAATTAGTTGCCTGCCTCTCTGCTGACTTATATAGCTGAGGAGGAGGCATAGAGACAGATGTATAAACTGAACCACCACACAGTCAGATGGTAATGCTAAACCTTCCCTTTGGATAGGTAGTTTGGGTTTTTGTTTCTGTAATTAGACTGAGAAAAGAAAAACTTCAGAAGTAGGAATTCATAAAGAAATGTTAGCACTAGAGTCAAGTCTAAATTTATTTTCGTATTAAATTCAGTGATTGAAGTAAGCTTTTCACATGTTTGCATTCCTTTGGGCTCCATGGGATTTCAGAGAATTAGCCAATTCTCAGTAGCCTTTTGCATATTTGGATGGGGTGAGGAGCGGTAGCTGTTCCTAAAGGCCATATACAATTTTTACAAATGAGCTCCACTGTCGCACTTAGCTGAGCTTGATTTTCACTTATGCTTTGGTCTCTTAACATTACAAAAGTGCTATAAAGGGGTCTCTGTCTACTTAAATAAGGCCCAGTTGTAGTGTTCTCATTCTGTGTAATCTTAACTTGGGACAGCTTGTCTGCCTAGACTCAAACTTTACCACCCTATTTTAAATGTTTCCGAAGTACGACGATACTATAAATTGAAATATTTTTTTTTAGCTTTATACTGTGTGGCTAAATTAAGTAGGTTTTCATGTGAACTGCAGAAATCCCCTACTAGGTGTACTTTCTCGGTGTGGAGAGTCTGGGCCACTGTCCCACTGTTTGCGAGGTGTTTAATTTGCACAAAGTCAATCGACATGAAAGTGGTAAACTTCTTCATTGACAGGGTGCTGTTAAAGGGAATAGCACTGGTTCACAAAGGTGTGCGTTCTAATTTTGTTTCAAGTAACATGAACAAAGATTTGAATTGGAAGCCAAACAATTTTCTGAATGGTAAAATAACAGGAAAATGTAATTTTACTAATAATGCAATTGTAACGACTAAATGGGTAGAGCTCTCACAGGCATTGCAGGTATTAATGCTATTTTTTTAAGGAGCACTGCATAAATATTTTTAAAGCTGACTAGCTCCTTTAGACCATGTGTTTAAGGTTGTTTTATTTTTTTAGAAACTTTACTGTGTTGGAAACTAGCAGGGATATGAATAATTTGTTTTCTGTCAGGGAGTCTGGAATGAAAAGTGAAGTGTCAAGCATGGAATAAATATGTAAATATTCAGTACTGGTTCTTGAAAGCTTAAAATACATGGCATGTCACACTAGTGATTTTCAAACTAGTAGGAAATAAAGGGTTAGTTAAATTGTTTGATGTATGGAAGCTCTGTAAAGTAGATAGAAGTAGAGTCTATCATGTTTTGTTTGGTGTTTTTTTTTAAATGAATTTATTTCTGTGCCCTTTCAATGCAAAGTGGTTCCTGTCTTGGGTAAATTCAACTTGAAATAATGCTGTTTAAAACTTCGGAATTAGTTGGTTTGCTCCGTTAAACTGGATTCCTAACATGAGTAAATAACACTTTAAGCATTAAATTTTACTTTTTCTACTCTGCACAAAAATAAATTTTCAAGTTTTATTTCCTGACCGGAGTATCAGAACATTGGAAGCAGCTAATGCCAATGTCCAAATACTGTCTAGTGCTTCATAGGCTTACCGGAGGAGCAAAATGCTTGGGAGGAGCAAGGCAGAACAGGTGTGCAGGGCAGTACAGTTCTCCCTCCTCAGTTCCTGCGGCTGCGGACACGGAAAGGAGGCTGTGCTGAGAGAGGCCGCGCTTCTGGCTGGGGTGTGTAATACTGCCGTGGTTCAGCAAACGTCCCAGTTCACAGACAAGTGCAGACTTTGTGACTGGGATAAGGATGAGACAAGTTGTGTGTGCTTTTTTTTTTTTTTTTTTTTTTTTAATTTGGCTTCCACAATCTTTAGCAGCTCTGCAGTCATCATTATTCTGTACTGGCTGAATGCCAGATGCAGGTGGGTAGGTAGCAGCAGCTACACCGCTTAGCTGTAAGCTCTTGCACTGCTCTCCAGAGTTGAGGTGGGAGCTTTCGACCTTTTTTTTCTCCCTGCTGAGTAGCTCCTCCCCTCAGGGCAGAGACCATGTGCAGCAGATGCATGGAGTGCCCCCTGCCCAGGGAACCATCCCTGAAAACTAGAAGTAAACAACAGGAAGCAACTATAAATCCCAAATGTAAAGAAAAACGGAAACTCCTCGGCTGTGCCCGGATCCTGGCCAGATCTGGACACGCCTGAGTGAGGCATGCCAACCTACCAGCTATCTCCCGTGCATTCTGTATAGGTTTGTTTGTTAACCTGTACAAAAGCCGGGCCCCCTCACAGCACGGACGCAGACCCCACCTACGAGCGGACGCCCTGCATAGGGCTTCCCAATAGCTGGGACAGGCTCTGCGACCCTTCGCTGGGACGGGGCTCCCCAGCTGGTGCACGGGGCGGGGGGATGGTCAAGTAGGAGGGCAACTGGTGATGGATCTTTCTTAATCACTATAGCTGGCTTTATGTAGTAATGACTAGGTGCATTACCTTGCTTATTCTTTCTGCTGCTTTAAACTAAAGTAAAATAAGCCTTTTTATTTGGCTTGGTGTCTGTGTCCTTTGTGTTCACCCCGTCAATTGGCAAAACACGTGTTCATATCCCACAGGAGCTCTTGTAGGGGCTATGAAAAACCTGCATTAGGGATGAGATCTCTTCACGTGATGGGCAGTGGATTAATTTTTCCCTTCTTGCCAGTTTATTATCCCGCTGTCAGTGCAGGACTGGTGTCATACTCTTGTATCTAGGAGCTTTCAACATTTGCTAGCTTTTCACCTTCAAAAGGGCTGCTCATCCCAATCAGAAACTCCCCAGCTGGGATGCAGAAGAAAAATCCTTGAGAAGGGATAACCTTTCATCGAACGCCAGCGTTGTTTACTGTTGTATCCTCCCTTTTTGACAAACAGCCTCACCTACTCCGGTGCACCGACCCGCTAGTGTAGTCTATTCGTGACTTCCTGTACTGTGCAGCCAGCATAATGAAATTTTGCTATTTCATCTGATAAAGAGGGTACTCAAACTTTTGTAACAGAAAGAAGTGAACCAAACTCCACTGATTATGGTATAGACCCTTTATTAGTTCAGCTTTTGTACAAAGTGTACTTTAAAGAGATACAAATAGCATTCCCGTTTCTTTTACAGACTAGAGATTAAGATCTGTTAAGCACTGGTTTATCCTTCTTGTGTATATAAAGGTAGAAAATGTAAATAGATTCGGCAGTGAACCATAATGCTGGAAGACAGTTCAATGTTTATTTGTTAATAGAAAGTTGCATAGAATTGTAGGTCTTTATAAAGGCATCTATCTGTGTGGTAAAATCTCCCTGACCTACCCTACCTCATTCAACGAGCAATACAGGAGAAAGGCAAGGCTAGTACTGCTCCTTTTAAATACTGTCCAGCACTTCTGAGTAAAATGGCTGTAGAAAAGCACCATGCCAGAACCAGCCGAGAAGACAGCACCCGGAAAACTTGATTTGCAAGGCCCATTTCTAAAAATTTTAGGAACTGTTTGCCACCTGGGATCTATTAATACATTAAGCTTCTTAAAAACACCTAAGAACATTTGAGATAAAACCACGCGTGGCCAGTCAAAATATTTCACACTATTATGTATTTTGCTTGTGTAATACCATTCCCTTTTGTGTTGACAAGAAACTCTTGTAGATGCGTGCTACTAAATTAATTTATCTGAGAGTGTTAATCTAGTACTAGATTCATATTAACTAAAACCTGCCACCTTTATTAGAAGTACAGCAAAATTCTTTCTTGCCACTGCCACACCTGACGCAGATGCACGGTTCTCAGTTCCATGCCTTTTGTTGAAACTCATCTAGAACTATGGGAACCTCTCCCCAGAGTTACTGTTCCTGCTCTAAATAAAGCAATCCTAGCAGCAATGGTCCATGCTGGCCACACCAACAATTTTTTGCCTTGGAAGGAGTTCAGGAGAACAAGAAATGCAACTTTAATGCTGCCAGAAATGGAAGAAACTATTTTGTCTTCAATTTGACCTTTCAAGTGGAAAAGGTCAGTTTAAGGGAATTAGTTTACATGTATTTGTAACTGGCCTCCTGGCTTTTCAACATCAGTTTGTAAATGTTGATTTTCTTTCAAAGACAAACTTACCATTTGCTTTAAAATATTGATTGCTTCAAAGACCTCCTTAGTGTTACTCCTTTCCACCCAATCTAGTGTAGGACAAGGATTTGCTCAACTCCTAATTCCTTGTAGTCTCACGTACGTTACCTGACAGCTTGCTCCGAGTTTTGTTTCTGAATCTCCCAGGTTTGGTACTATTACATTCTGTACCCACTTAACTGTGGATAAAGATTTAATCTCCTTTTAATTCTAATGCTATGTTAATTGTAATGCCACAAGCTAGCAGCTCACGCTGGTGGCAGAGGCTGGTGCAGCTGCATCGTTGCTCTCGGGCTGAGGGAAGGGGGCAGGACCACACTTAATTCTTTCTCTCCCCTCTCCTGGCTCTGCACCCTTTGCTCTCCCTCTTCTAGCTGCAAAGTGCTATTAGAAACAACTAAAAATACAATTGTTTGCACGGTTACTGGTCCACTTGAGTAACAGTTCCACTTGCTCTCAGCACAGTTCCACTTGTGAGGAAATGGAACCGATTAAAGTGTGATTTAGTACGAGAATACTAATGCCAGTAACGCAGTGCTGGAGCCCTCCTGTAATGCACTTTTAGCCGTGTCTCTCATATAATCCTAAAATATGATCATGACTAGGGAAGTAGCATTTCCAACTGAATGCCTTCACTTACACCAAGTCTACTACAATGCTTGGACCCTTAATTTTTATAAAAAGGATATATGGACTATTTGAAAGAAAGAAAAAAAAAAAACCCTTGCTTCTGCCAGCTGCTATTAAGAGCTGTGTAATGCATGAGGTTGGAAAACTTAAAGTAGATAGATAGAATATCACCATAATGGGCTATTTAATTTCACCCTAGTTAATTGTAAGACAGGTAAAATGATGATACTTCAGCATACGCCACGCTGTGAGTGGTTCATTAGCAGAGGAAAATCTTAAATGCAGAACAGTTAGCACAGAGGAATGGGATTAAGCTTGAAGTTACTGGAGGGATCTGATGCTATTATGTGCCCATTGAAAATATCTCTGCAAGTGCTTCGTTGCTGCCAAAGGAAACCCAAGCTGACAGGTTATTCCAGCAGCAGGTGGGCCCGAAGTGTTGCCTAATTTCAACGCTTGAAGTTCGGACCTTCCAGAGGTGGCAACTAGAAGCTACAAAGGTTGTGCTTCACGCAGTTTCATGTCTGTCACTTAGCAGACCAAATGCTAAGTAAATATTAAATAAACCCTATTTCCTATACTAGAAGGAATTCAGTCATAAATAAGTGGGTGAAATTCCTAAAACAAACAAATGCAGACATCCCATTACGGAGAAAGCACCGAGCAACTATTAAGTTGCCTTTTTTCTGTGGTGAGAACAGCAAAGATTGGGTGATCTTTACTGCTCTTGAACTTGGGAAAGATGATCCAGCTCATCTGAGTTCTATAGGATTTTGAAGTCACTTTGTTCTTTTACATTAAGCAAAGTAGATAAAGTCACATCACAGAACCACACAGTTACAGTACACAGAAAAGCACTGATTGAGTCTAATAGCATGACATCTGGTGTTGCCAGGAAGCTTAAAAATTAGTGTTAATGCTGAAATAGTCTCACAGACCACAGACACTAACAACTTGCTTATTTAGAACACAAGATAATAAAAACATTCTTACTTTCTACCTACAGCTTTAATATGCACACACTGATGTATGTGACTCGACCACTGAATGTTTAGTGTGACTGAAGGTCTTCCCAAACTACAGCTACTGTTTTACTGTTTCAGATTGTTAAATTTGGCTGCTTATTAAGAGATGTGCTATGTCATGAGTTGGTGAGACAGCTATAGCAACCTAAATACTGTCAATGATTGTAATTTAATCTAGAATATAAGGACTGAAAACAAGTAAATATGTGGGCATAACTCTTCCTATGAATGTTTTCTTTTGGGAAAAAAAAAAAAAAAATCTTTTACAGAAGAGTTATTTCTGTCAGTTTTTAAATGCACAAGACCTGAATATGCGCACATCTGCTTCAGTGGTACTAAAGAAACAGCAAGTTAGAAAGATTTATTAATGCCTGAAATTAAGACAGCTCTGACAGCAAGTCTTCATAATGTAGCGCATGGGCTAAAGAAGGTTGCTGCCTCTCTCTTTGGTTATGCTGTTAGCCATAAAAACATTGCTCTGAGTGACAGCAAGGCATGCACAGTGATGTATTTGCTTTTTAAACTATAAAATTAGCTTATTCAGATTGTTGCACCTGCACACATTTTCCTGAAGGTTCAAAACTGATGAACCACATTCAGCAAAGAGGAGGCCAGGTTCTTCCCCAGTTACTCCACTGAAGAGCGGCAACGGACAAGATATGGCTTAGTTATACCACTGAAAACAACATGAACAGGCTGTGTGAGAAGTTGAAAGAAAAGTCTTCGAACTGTACAGATTTCTCATGCAGTCCTTATAGATAAATGCCCCCTTGATTCAGTATTTGTGGGTCTGTTAAAGAATCCTAGCTCTTACACAATTACAAACTTGAGTACTAATAAAGATGTCCAAAGTTCAAATGACTGTGCAAATATTCGTCTGTTGTGGATATTAATGTTCAAGTAGCCTTAAACCTGCCAAAAGAAAATTAAGGATTCTCTAGGTATTTACATATGCTTTAAAGATATTGAGTACCGAGTGGGCTGGTCTTAAGCTTAAAGGACCCTGTAGAAATAGTTGATACTTTCACATACAAAAGCTTCAGACTTTTAAATAAAATGCAGATCCCTTCCTGCAAGCTCCAAGTCACTCACACATCTATGTAAAAGGTTCCAGATGACTACTACCTTGGACTTTGGTATTAGTCTCCTAAGTGTGTAGCAACCTGGGAAATTAGAGAAGCTCTAACTAAAAGTCAACCTCACCTGAAGCTGTTACATAGTAGAATTACAATTTAAAGTGCTTTCTTTCCACCTTTGAAATAGACCTTCGACAGACTATAAACAAACAAAATCTATTAAATTCTATTAGTGACTTACTAATTCTATTACTGACTTTTCCCAAAATTAAGTACATCCCACGTGTCATTACTGATGATCATATTTTTTCTGTTTCAAAGATAAGCATAAACTAGACTTAAATGGATTATAATGGACTGGGAAGGAAACAACATTACAGTATCTCGGACTATAAAGGGCTCTAGCTTTCAGGCTTGAAAGACTCCTATAAATGATGCACTGAAGAGATAACAAATCAAGTCTCCTTCCCCCTTTTTATAAAAACCTTAGCTAAAAATGTATTTGCCAATTACTGGTTTTAATGCCTAGTTCCCCAAGAGAAAATTCACCCATTTGGTTTTATGCCCCAATAGGAAATAAAATCGTAACCTAGATTTTAAAAGAAAACAAATAAATCGGAAATGGTATAAAGTTAAACAATCATTCACAGAAAGTGGAAAAGTTTGCCAGATGGTCACAGAAATGAGAAGAAAATGCTTTTTGACCTTACTTCTGTTTAGATAACTGTAACCTCCCTAGGTTTCCGTTTTACACTCTCTAGTCGTGTCAGAGGGCGGAAATTTGTTGACTTTCTGCTTCCTTCTGTAGTAGTTAATCGACAGTCCTTCTGCAGCCCCCTCAGCAGCTCCATTAATTCCCGTTTTTCCAGCTCTGCCTGCTCCAGCTCCTGACGGTGCTGTCTCTCTGCAGCCATCAGAGAGCGAACATCTGACATCACTCGTGACATCTGACTCTGAAATGAAAATACAAATTTACTGCAAGAAGCAAATTCTTTGTTTTGTATGCAGTTGAATTGGCCGTGTAGGATGATGGATTATAAAGAATAAGAAACATTAAAATAATTTTTTGATAGTGGAACAAATGTAAACAATTAGAGAACCAATCCAGCATTCACCTTCTGAGACAGTCTTGTTTCAAAGATTCTAACACAGTTTTCCCAAAAGCATAAAACGTTTCTTATAAAGTTTCATAAGCAACAGTGGGTTTACCCAGTTGATGCTTACATTTTCTATTTTAAGACCCCAAACCAAAATAAGGTTTTGGTTACGTTCAGATACATTCTTCAAGGATTTGACATAAAATCCAGGAAAAACTAAAAATGTAAAGTATAAAGCACATCCATTACTTTGAGCTTTAAAACCCATTATTCTGTGGTATAATAAGATCTGGATGAATGAAAAGATAAGACGGCCTTGCTCATTACTTGATGAAGTTCACAGTGCAAGGTTCCAGCCTTTTGACCACAGCTGAAGCACAGTGTAAATACCACTGTCTGCAGCAAGGCTCTGTGTCAGCACTAGATTAAAACCCCTTTGGATAGCACAAGAAAGGGAGCTGGGTATTTAATTAAACCTGATGTGTGATGTATGCCCTATGTTTAGACACCAAAATGAGTTTCAGACTGATCTGCTGACATGTTATGTGCACACAGAACAATGCAGTCCCTGTACAGGGGTACCCAGGTTAGCTCCGGATGAATTCGAAGCAGATAAACCACACGAATACAGCATTCAGCCTGCTTCTCACCACAGCTGATTAGCCTGGCAAAACACGGTGCTAATAACTGTTTTGCTTCCCATACTTACTGTAATTCTCGTGTGTAGGAGACTACATTTACAAAGTAAGAGACTACTTCTTGGAAAAGCAAAAAGTTAGACTGTTAGGAAAAGAAACAAAAACAAACAAACTATATTTACCTTTAGTTCTTCAATTTCATTTTGCAGAATACTCTCTTTTTGGACCATATGTCTTCTCTGTGAATCTAACCTTGACTCCATCTCATGTTTTGCCTCCTCCACTCTGCAGATCATTTCTGACCTAAAAAGTTTATCTCTCCTTGTTAAGTCTCATAAGCATGGAAAAAAATGGTTTTCAAATTCCAGAAAGCCTTCTTGCAGCCAAACAGCCCGATCAGATTCCCATCGTACTCTACAGGACACCCCTCTAGAGGCATGATAGTACTATTTATTAATTTAAATAAAACTAGTATAAAAAAGTGCTTTGTGCCCAAGGGGCACTAAAGTGACCATGCACAGCCTACATAGAGGACAACCGTATCATATTTCTGAAGCAATTATATGTGCCCAAGAACATGACTTTAAATGCCTTTCACCCCTAGTATATGCTTGCTTGGTTTTACCAAACACATGCAGTCAACATAAAAAGTGTGAACACTACAGTATTGCTAAACATGTGATCTTACCACTTTTATGGTGGACACTAAATGATAATATGCAGTAAACTATTAAAACCTAATCATTCACACAGCTTCACAGCCAAAAACTAGCTGTTGCTACATTAACCTTCCGAGTTCAGAAACCGGGTAGCAGAATCCCTTGTGTCTCCATGCATTTAAACCAGTTTTGAGCCTGACTTCACAGCAATGTTCAAGAGCGCAAGACTTAGTGAGTGGAAAGACAGAAATGGGAAGGAGCGTGGGGAAAAAAAAAAAAAAAAAAAGAGTCCAACTGGAATACCATGGAAAGGGAAAGCTACAGAAACATATATAAGAGGAAAAAGACGATGGTAGTAACAAGTCATATTCACCAACTGTAATTAATCTGCCAGAATTTTAGTAAAATTGAAAAATAGATCCTCAGAGATTTAGTCTATCAGTCTATACCTGCCAAAATAATTAGAGATTTTTATCTTCTGGAACTGTAAAAATATAAACTAAATATAATTATTAAATAATGTGACTTGGGGTCTATAATGGGCCAATGGAAAAATGAAATTGCCAGCTTCAGTCCAGTTTTCTTAGGTATATAACAGCAAAAGGGTCAACACAGTAAGGATTTAAAGTCTATGCTAACACATAATAATACTCTGGCCCATTAGTATCAAGACTAACACATACCAAAATCCAGTGCCAGTATTTGAAGGGCTTTATGCAGTGATTTTAGGCTCAGACTAACACAAACATAAAAGCAACAGAGGATTTGTACCGAAGTAGTTCTAGCTCTGTTCTTAGCTCTGCCACACAATTATGCTGCGTGTCTTCTGCACTGAGAATGGTGTAACCACAACCATTGGGGCATTCGCGGCTCCGATATTCACACACTGCCAGGTGACCATCTAAGTTACGTCGCTCGATCTGAACTGTACAACCTGAACAGGGAACAGTAAGGTAAGCCAGTTGTTTACAACCAACAAAAGCATTTTAATTAATTCCAAATAAAAAACACTCAAGCAAGCAAGCTACAAAATCCTGAACTAAGCAGCTATCAATCTGTTAAAGCAATGAAAAAAGTGATTTCCTTAGAACATTAAATATGATAGTTATAACACACATAATTAGTAATAAAACACTTAAAAAAAATCTTACTAGGATATTTATCTATTAACTGAAAACAATGAAAAACTAAAAGTACGCATTTTCTGTAAAGTCTTCTACTGCTGGTCTGGTACTAAAGCAAAATGACAACACTGATGCCAAGCTGAGACTCCAGCAGCATGCCTGTGCTTCCACCATAGAGTGCAGTGAGTGGTGCACATGTATAAAAAAAAAAATTAGGTTAGCAAATTTAGGAAAAAAGGTCCAAAGAGATGTAGTAAAGAGAGATGTGGGCAAGATGGAATGTCACCTTGTTTTCCTGACAATTGGTTGGTCTTGTGTGTAACATACTAGATCACACAAATAAATGAAGACATTTATTTATGAACATTAAATAACTGATGCAAAACCAGAAACATATCCACAGAAATTCTAGGATACAAACTTTACAAACCTGTTGTGATTAAAAGTAAAATGTAGAGAACCAAAAATGAATACTATCTAAATTATTGCTACATTTAACTCTCTGAACGTGAAGTTTGTAGTCTTAATGTTTAATCTCTGAGGTGCTGTTTGCTGTAATACATACTTGCATTTAATTTGAAGATAAAAATTGATGTTAAGGAAACTGAAACAATGGAGTAAAGAAACTCGCCAACAAACCATACCAGAAAATTACAAAAGACAGCCCTCTAGAAGAGCTTCACTAATAAACATAATGACGTGTAACTGAGGTACTCAAAATACACTCCAATGTACTCTTGAGAAAGAGTTCAAGAGATGTAAGAGCCCTCATACCCTGAACACCAGACATCAGAGATAAGGTGTGGGAACTCTATTAATACTCCTGTTTCTGTAGAAAGTAAAACAGGTGAATCTGAAGCGTCTGCAGGAGTCACCTACTGCTGAGAAAAATTACAACTTCCAGTGGAGCAATTCTAGCACCTTAATCTTCTTATAATTAATTACAATGACAGACTTGACTGTGACCTTAGCATCATTAATTAGAAATTAACTTTGTCTAGGAACATACAACATTTAGAATAAAACTGACTGGGAAATTTGAGGAGTGTGTTCCTTTTTAGCAGTACGTTTCTTCCTCGGGAGGTGTAGGTTTGTTTTAAATAAAAACCTTAACATGAACACCACAATCCTAACCAGAATTTAGTTTGAAACAATTCTTACTTCCAAGATACGTTTTTATTAAAACCACAAGACAGAGCGAATGGCTGCACGTGCACCAGGCAACCAGCTGTTTTATAAATAACTTGTGATCCATAAGCATTCTGTAGGTGCTATTACATTGATTCAAACATCAAAACGAGCAGCTGAAATCGAAAGATGGACTCATAACTTGACAGAGAGCAAAATAAATGCACTAATGTATTTTAATAAATTTGATGTCCATCATACTCATTCATTTCGGCTAGTTGTTGGATAAGAGATTGTTGCTAAGGATTGTCATAAATCAGTAATACATTTTGTTCAATAACACTGCTGTAAAGAGTACATCATGCCCAAGTTTGAATTTCTGTTTGGAAATCTTGGCCATTATTGCCATTCTGTTGACAGAAAGATGACAAACACGCGTTCTGGACATAAAGGATTCAACTTCTTTGAATGTTACTCACCAGCATTGGAGCAAGGTATCTGACTGTATTCACACTCCCTTTCATGCCTGTCTATAGACTCCAGAGAACAAACCATTTCACAACCATACTCTCTGTTTTTGCAACGGAGCTGAAGACGGTTTAAATCATTTTTCATATATCTATGTGCAAAAAAAAAAAAAAAAAAGTTCTTCAATCTGGGAACATTATTGAAAAAATTATATTTTTCAACTTTTGGAAAAAGAAATTAAGATTCTAATCTCCTTTAGGAAAAAACTGTGAATAATCAGTTTAGGTTGGTTTTGGTTTTTTTTTTTTTTTTTTTTTTTTTTTCTTTTTTTAGAATTGAAGTGACCATACTTGAAAAGAACAGGCTTAAAAAACAATGTTAACAGAAAATTCCGTCTTCAAAATTAAGTGCAAATGAAAACCTTATTTTTGAATACGTATTTAACTGTGACCTTTCACTAGCTCAGCAGATATTACCAATAACAAATACTAGGGCTACTCATTCATCATTTAAGCTTTGTGTTTCTAAACATGCCGAACCAAAGTGACTACAGTGAGTACAGACAAAACAATCTATAAATTAAACTTTAGGGTTCTGTCTACATTATACTTTAACTTTCTAGACAGTAAAATCTTACTAGTGACAAAAATACTGGGAGTACTAATGGGGTTAATTTAACCTCTGTGGCTGAAGGTTTTAAGCACAATATAACTGTTAATCTGAGCAAGATTAGACAATGCAGGGGTTATACAGGAAGCAGTACCTACTGAAGAAACCGTGTGCTGGCAATAGCAGGAATTAATAGAACAAAAGAGAACAGAATAGAATAGTTCAGCTGGAAAGGACCGACAATGATCATCTAGTCCAACTGCCTGTCCGATTACGGAAGACACCTGTGAACACAGGCTGCTTTACATGACAAAGTAGCTCAGGACAAATATTCTTATGGCTAAAGACTTTTTAAAAAAAGGATTTGAAAATGGCAAGTTTGGTTCATATCTACAGGAATTATTCATGACAAACCCCACTACAGTATCTAGGTAAGACTGAAAAGAAAAACAAAAGGTAGACAGTGTTTAGTGACTTGTCAAGAGTTGCTTTGCCTGCTTTCTCTAAAACAGTATGGGAAAGTTTTGGTGCTGTAGAAGACATTCAGAATAATACCCAGACATATATCTAGAATCAGCATTCAAGATGTAAAAAGGTGGAGAACAAACTAAGTGTTCTTTCCATTTTGAGATCTTAATACCTTGAAAGCTAATAAATAGAAAATGCTAACGCACTCATTCAAGTGATTGGTTTCTGCCACAGGCGTACTGGATAAAGACAATGTGAGTGACAATAAATGACAAGAGAGGAAGCTGCGCAAGCAAAGCTGAGAAATCTGAAATTCACATAATTTCAACATACAGCAAGATATATATACAGGTATACCTGTAGAGAGGTCGTAGCAAAGATACGTCAATCATTTGTCTGTCTTCAGGGCAGTTACTGTGATGCACAAGCCACACGTGTATACACGCGGTACAAAAAGCGTGTTCACAAGGAGCCTGTAACGGATCTTCTAACACATCACGGCAGATGGAGCATAACAGCCCTTCATTAACGTAGCCAACGAAACGCTCGATATCATAACCCATGCTCTCCGCACGCTTTCAAGCTATGAAAACAACACAGAGAAATAGAATAGTCTTCATCCTGAATCTGTATGGCTAGAGCCACAAAAAGGCCCAGAAACAGTTCTAGAAACATGACAAACTTAACTCGAATAAAGAACTTCACAGGTGAGAATGCAAACACTTACGTACTTTGGAGACTTTAAGTGAGAATTTGAGGCTTGTACTGTTGGATGTCAGAATCCCAATTTTATATCAAGATTCTCTGAATTCTGAAAGCAAGGACTTTAACAGACAGTGGAGTCACGCTTGTCCTGATCTCTATTACTGAACATAGTTATAGCAGTCACTGTGAAACATATAGTTTCTATTTACTTGAACTCTACCTCAAGCAGAAACATCTTAGAAGTTCAAATATAAATGTTTGCTTTCCATTTTGATGCCTTTTATATAATGCCTGACAAAGTTACAAAACAGTGTCTTCACAGACAATAGCTTTCAGCTAGCAAATTCTGTATTTATGAGCTGCACATCACTTAATGTGCTACTTTCATACTGAAATAAAGAAAAAGGCTAAAGTTCTCTACTCATTGTAGACTTCCTCCAGAGGGAACAGCATGAAATCTCCACATGCCTAGAGAAATACTTAATATTCGTGAAGAAAAAGAAGCCAAAACTGCAGCTAACCCTGAAATCATGAGGAGCTACTGCCTTCTCCTACATGGTCTATTTTATAAGCCTGAGTAGCCTTTAAATGGACTTGAAAGCTTTGTGAAGAACTAACAGGCAATCTGCCTTCATCAATATCCTATCGTAAAAAGCGTACTAGAATTTGGTAAGATTCCACTGAACTCACTTAAAACAATGTTTTAGGCTTCACATTAATCCTTAACATACAAAATTACTTCTGTAACCCTACTGAGACTTGTGGAAGAGTTTTTCATCAGTTATGAGATTTTCTAAATAAAACAGAAAAGGAAGATATCCTACCTTTTTAGATTTTACTACATATATATATGTAGTTTGTCCAAATACTTCAGAAACAGATTTCTGATAAGTAAGACAGGTAATACTTCCTTCAGATTCTTTTCACTGCTTTATTATGCCTATGAGAAAAGTTAGAAAGAAAAATGCTCACAAGTGTTTCCTAAGTTACCGAGTCCTATGTCTAACCAGCCAGCTGCTGAATAGCTGCTGTCCTAACAGCCCATTCAAACAAAGCTTTCCAAAGCAAGCCACTGGAAAACCTACAACTCAAGAGATCTGGCTACATTAGGGAGGAAAAAAAAAATCATCAGTCTCTCTTTCAGTCATTACTGATGCCGATACTTATCACAAAACTGAACACCCTGCTGCCATTTAATTTGGAAGCCTTACAGTTTTGTTTGTAAGACTGAAGACAACAGCATTCAATATTACTGACAAGTAGCAACTGAAATCTGCTAAAATTATATTCCTTAAAAAGATGAAAGTTTCTTATCTAGCCTGGTTTTATCCAGGCATGATATGGAGTTCATTTCAAAAACAAAACTATCACAGTCAAGTTCATTGTCTTGACAAATAACATGGCTCTGATGCATAGCACAACAAGGTTGCTCACTTAAAACAAAAAATTTAAAAGGATGTCATCACTTAAATCCCTTAACTTGATATCTACCAATTGCAATATGACCTTCAAAGAGAACCTCAATCTTAATTAGAACTGCGTAGGAACAGTAAAGATCTCTAAAGACTGATGTCAAATTTTGCTCTAAAGGGAAAAAAGAACTTTGCAATTCCTCTTCATGAATACAACATAAATCTGAAATTTGGAAGATCTTATATATCTGAGTATCAAAGCATAGCTTCACTGATTATGAAAGTTGCTGGTGTTAAAAGTGTATTTGCTGAAAGTTTATAGACCGTGCAAGGAAGGCATGCGTAACACCAGCAAGCATGCACATTACCCAAACACAAAACACATCATCTGCTACACTGTCTTAATTTTCTGCTTTGTTTCTACTGGCATGTTTATCGCACAGCCGCCACCACTGTTTGCAGAGATGCTTGGGCTAGCTTGAGATCAGCTGGGACACCTACTAGCCGGGTGACCTGTGACAGCACTGCCACAGCAGCAGGGAGTGCAATCCATGCAGACTCCTGACAAGGACCCAGCTTCACAGGCTGCATTTAGCTCTGTGCTTCTGTGGCCATGCTGTCATCAACAACACTGGGAATCTAAATTTACAGGTATCTATTTACAGGGATATGCTATTCCTTCAGCCACAGGATGGACATTCTATGTCTGAAAAGAGTCTGCACAAGCAAACACCGTATTATGAGGAAAACCAATTCTTTTTACACTGTTGTGTCCTTGTGTTTTCTCACAGCTCTGCTGCAAAGACAGGAAATTCAGGACTTTGCTAGCTCAGCATGAACAAAATGAGCATTATGTTTGCAGAAACCCGTGATTGTAAGGACAACAAGACCCACAATGGAAAGTTTAAAAAAGTGGAGAACAATGCTAATTATCAGTAGCAGAATGTCAAGTCAAGTACTAAGTGCTCCTGACACTGATGAAAGCATTGAAACATATAGTATATTTACGCTGGAGGATTGTTAAAGAGCATATATACATTCTATAATTTGAATTGTGAGCGTAAAATTTTGATTTAGCTTGGTGGATCCCAGAGGATGCAGCTTTTAGAAAACTTTCATAGAGATACATCAACAAAACTGAGTATTTTTGCTGTCCTAGGGCATCTGCTCTATGGGAATTGTAGATGCTGTAAAGCTACACTTTGCAGACACATTGCTGACCCCTGAGCACTAAGTCTTCAAGACACTCTTTGGTGTATTTTAGCAGTCTGAAGTCTATCAGAATGCAGGAAAGAGTATTTTTATCAAGTGGGAAACAGAAACTTTATTTATGCTTGACAGAAAAATTAAGTGCAACAAATATATAAAGCCCAAAACAAAACCATAGTTCAAATGGAGTGGATAGGAACTTTGAGGCAAAAAATAGACTCAAGGGGGTTTCTGATGAGAGCTTGTTTTCAAGACTGTTTTTGGAGCAGCACCATCCCACAGTGTACCAAATTCCTCGTCTGAGTCTGAGCCCTATGACAACAGCTGTCATTGAAGTCCCAGACCTCTTCCAGTAGAAATTTCCAGACCTGAAGAACCAGAGATGTTTTATCTTCTGCCAACTTCAAGAGATGCACTTGCATCAAGAGATAAGCAGAGGGAGAGCATCAGATGAATGCCATGCACTCTAGCAGTACGATCACTTTACTCAGCACTTCCACCACAAAACGAAACCATTTTCAACTTCTGCTCTTCCCCAGAAATTTATCTTTTTGACTTGGCCTCAAAACCTCTTCTTCTATTTCTATCACAATTCACCGACTGTTACACTTCTTTTTTGTCTGCACCTAGAAACTACATTATTTATTACTGCCTTCCCCCCTCCACTAATATTTCCAAATCTTGCCTTGTCTTTGGTTTCTCTGGTCCAGAATTTTGCCCATCACCTGGCCACTACCAGTGACACTGTCCACAAGGATGTCTGGAACTTGTGGGTGCCAAATCTGGAAGGCAGAAAAAACACAAACTATTACATGCTATTTGCTTTCCATTATTTCACATACATTTTATTTCTCCCCATAGTATTTGACAAGCAAATATCTCCTTCAAACTTCACAGATACTAAGTCTATTTTTAGTAGCTGTCATCCCATGTTGTTTGCCCGACAGATGCACACCTAATACCAGCCTTGAGCTATGTACTGCACTGCCTTCAAACAGAGATTTGTGTGGATATAACAGCAGGCAGAATACAGATGGGATGTAGCTCCCAACAGTATAATCACATCACTTGCTGTGTGATGTATCATACTGGGTAACTGTCCGGTTTTAAGACTGAACTGGGGAAAAAGAAGTTTTAACTTTGACAGTTGTCCTACAGTAGCCCAAACCAATCTACCCAGGAAATAACATCCTAGTTTCCCTCTACTTCCTCTCTTGAATCAGTTAGAACATTCAGTTTAGCCCTTTCTTGAACTGGCTCAGACAAATAACCATATAGACAACTACTCACTGATTTGCCAGGCTAGATTTTCTCGTCGATGGCTGAGCAAAAGCTTCAGCGACCGTGGAAGTGGGGCAAGGCAGGGGATGAAAAACCATAGTCAGGGCAGAAAGGAAAGAAAGACAGCAGCAGTGTCTGTGGTTAACGCTGCTGTGGAGCTACTCCCTCAGCTCCCCAGACTGGTATGCTGGGGAGTCTCATGAACAGTCATGTAAGAGAAAGGGGAAAGAAAAGTAAAAAAATGAATGGAGAGCGATACCAGCTTACACCGATGTATGAGATATACAGGTAATTTAAGGCCCGTGCCCCCACCAGGAACTAAGAAACTAGAACTACTTTAGCAAAGAACATTTTTACAGAAGGCTCTGACTTGCTGTCCCGCTGCAAAACCTACTCGAAACAGCGCGATACGAGATGTGCATCCCACAGACCACCTTCTCGGCTGTGCAGCACTGAGGGGAGGCCGAGGACAGAAGCGCTCTGCTCAGAGGGCCGGTGCGGAGCGGGGCGCTCGGCCCAGGCAGGAGGAAGGCCTCCGGGTCCCGCCGGGGTCGGCGCCTCAGGATCGGCCAACGCTCTTGGCCACAGAGAACAAACGTGCCCTGGGAACACCCGGAGCAGCCCCGCAGCGCCCAGCGACCGCGCATAAGGGGACTCCGACCCCCCACCACGCACTCACTGTTACCTCCCCCCGCCGTGGGGATAGCGAAGCCGCCGCCAGCCCGGTACTGGCGCCGGGCCTGCCGCCGGCGAGCAGCCCTTGTCCAACGCTCAAGTCCCCGCGCAACGCCTCTCGCCCCGCGGCCCGGCTCCGCACGGTCATCCGCTTCGGTCCCGCGGCTGCCCCACAGCCAGCGGGCAGCCCACGCGCCCCACTCACTCACCTCTCCCTCCGCCGCCGCCTCTCCCCGCCGCCGCCCAGCTGTCGCGAAATCGAGGTGGCTTTTGCGGCCGCCCGCGCTTGACGGCCACGCGGCACGCCGCCGGCAACACCGGCCTCTCCGCCATACTGTGTGTGGCACCGACCCCGCCCGGCGCATGCGCCCTGCCCGACAGCGCCCGGAGCCGGCCCCGCCCAGCGGCATAACGCGCGCGCACAGTGGACATGGTGGCTCCTCCTCTCCCCACCCCCGCCAACCGCTTCGCGCACGGCTGCGGAGCATGCGCATTCGGCGAGGGGGCGCTGCGCAGCGCGCATGCGCGGCGCGGCCAGCGGGCTGACGGGAGCCGGCGGCGGGACGGTTGAGTGGTGAGGCGGCGGCGGCGGCGGCGGGGGGCTACCGGGCGGCAGGGTCGCTGGTCTCTCCTCGCCGGGGCGGGGGAGCCGGCTGGGCGGTCCCAGCCGCTCCGCTTGCCCTTAGGGAGCCACCACCCCTCCAAGCCCCGCGGTCCTTACCGGGAGGCTGCGGCAGGGTGGGCCGGGTCATAGCGGTTTGAATGGCACTGCTTGTTGGGCCTGCTCCGATTCCTTACAGGTCCTACTCATCTGAAGTGATTTTTGACTAATATCGATATTCAAGGCGATGCACTCACTGCCTGCAGTTTAACTGAGTAAAATTTAATCCTGTGTCGCATCTTTACAAAAGGTGCCTACAAAAACCATGTAGCCTCGTCATCTATGCCAGAATGTCTCTTTAGATGTTTAAGAGAGCAGTCTTTTAAGTATGTGTCAATGTAGGCACTGTGAGATGAGCAATGTAACTTCCTTTAACGTGACTCTGTGCATGCTGTGTTGAGTTGAATGTGTAAAATTTTGAAATATCGCTTGTACATGTATTTCATTTTGATGCAACTGTTAAGATGCCTTTAAGGAGAAAAGCACTACAGAATTCAAGGCTTGCAAAATCAGATGCATTCATGAGACGTTTTAGGCTGTGGTTTCATGGTACACTTAATTTGGTCAAGCTAGCTTGCTAATAAAAGGCAGGAGCAGTGCTGGTCTCGTTACCTCAAGCTATTTCCCTGCAACCATACCTAACGATACTGCAAGTACAGGGTGATCTGACAAACTGCTGGCTGTCTCGGAGGAAGTGGTATATTTACTTGTCACTTGACTTAGTTATGTGGACCTATTCCTGGCTCTTGCTACACCTACTCTGGTCTCATCTAAAATATCTAGTATCAGTCATTTGTTGTACACCCACTGTATAGTACTGTAAAGGTACAAAATATTAACATTATTTTTTGTATTTGATATTTTCATTATGCTTTATAAAACCTTGTATTTTGAAGACAAATATGTATTGCTGGAAGCAATATTGCATTTTAAAAGTCACAAACCCCTAGTGGTTTTTGAAGTTCCAAATAGGCAATACTGGTAATATTTTCACATGTTCTTAAATTTAACAGGAGTGAAGTTACTGAGTTATTAAGGGTCATATCTTTTCATTTTCTTATCAATTTGCAAATCTCTTAATGAGCATTTTTGTGGTTTAGGGCTGAGTGACAGTGCAAAATCCAAATGGATTTGGAAACCAAAGCACTTTAATCCGCAGATACATGCAATTTATGAATTGTACAACTCCCCTGTTTCATGGGAGATGTGTTAAGCTCTGGGAGTGAAGTGGGCAGGGTTAGTGCAGGGGTTCTGCCACGCTATGCATAGTCCTTGTGTAGAGTCGTTGGGTGTCCTGGGTTGTCTTCCCAATTGTCACCACATGTTGCAGATTTGGGTAGAGAACTTGTTCAAATTCATGTGGCACCTGAAGCTGGCTGTGGTCAGCACTGGCATTCACAGCCTGCTTCTCTGGAAGGTTCTTGACACCTTTTGCAGCTTTCACAGCGGCTGTCAGTTGTTTACGCTACAGGTACTCCTGTTATTATAACCAAGCTACTCCGTTATTGCATAGGGTTGACTGAAGTTCATATGCAAACGCTGCTATCAAGTAGGCCTAACGTACGTGAACTGCTGTTGATGCCACCAGAGACATCTTTCCTTGTATTTTTAATAACAGCCACAATTGAAGTGACAACGATTCAGGCTATTTTGCCATCAAGGTTTACATCTAGTAACAGCATCACGTATATGCCAACTGTTCAGATATGAAAGAGACAGCAGAACTCATGTTAGTATCTGCATGTTTGCAAAGTATTTTGACGGTACTCCCTTACTGCTTCTGTGTGAATCTTGTAAAGAAAGGTTGTTGTGCCCTCATAAGCCACTGGAGTGCAGAATAGCGTCAAAAAAGTGCAGAAACATACTGGCTATTGCAACAGGATGCAAACATGATTTCAGTAGAGGTAGAACAAGTAAAAGTAGAGCAAGTTTGTGTCTGCAATCCGTATTACGGTTTATTTTTACCCAGTAATTGGGGGGATCAATTAAAATAAACAATCCATGTATGAATGGAGAATTACACCAAAATATGTTCTATAAGTTGCTGTACTGTGCTTGTCTTTATCATTCCAGCTGCTGGGTTATTCTACTGGAATTTTCTTTCCCTGTTTTGTTTCTACTACTTTGAAGTACTAAGATTATAGTTTATTATTCTAGTGGTTGCAAGTGTGCTTTGTCATATTAACACTGGTGTGTGTTGTGTTTGGTTTTGTCCTGAGGTTGTTTAGGGGAATAACGGTTTTGTATTCTGAGGGAAAACTAGTATGCTCCTCCCACTGTTCAAGTGAACATAACAGGGAGTGATAATCTCCACTATAATTTTCAGATAATTTTCTGATGAATTATAATCTTATAATAGTGAATTTGAATGACCAATATAATTGATTTTTTTAATGCAAAATACTACTCCCAGATAGGAAACATACCTTCAACAGTCATTGTTCATTGTCCACTAATAATGGGCATTTCGAAATTAAGCTTTAAGTGTTTAGAATAGTTAGTTCTGTTTCAATTTGTCTTTCTTTTTATAAACTGGTGTTTGTTAAGCAGCCCTACATTGTGCATCTTCAGAGCTTTTCTTGCTATTGAGAACTGCACTATTGGCTTTTCAAATGAAAAAGGAAGTGTTCAACTGCAGAATTTGCTGTAGTCTATCTTTCGTAGTACTGTTAAACAATGCATTGCAACAATACTACTTAAAATGTATTATGCTTATGAATTAACACTGCTATTTGAAAATCTTTTATGCTATCTCTTATTTTAAAATAGTGCATATATTGTTATTGATGTGTCTATTTTGTATTCTGACTATAATTGTCTTTATCTGCTTCCTTCCTTCCTCTCCACCCTCCAGATCAGTACAGCTAAATATGAGGCGATCAGCAGCTCCAAGTCAAGTGCTAGGAAATGTAGCCAAAAAGCCAAGGTTTATACCACCAGGAAAAATTAAAACAGTTTGTCTCAAGAACGAAACCAAGGAGATGGACCAAGAAATGAAATTAAATGAGGTAAACTGAACAGTGCACTAAAAAGTTTATTTGTTTGTACAGTATTGTTACTAAAAGATAGCATCTGAGCTCACCACAAACAATCCATGCTAAATAATAGATTCTGATACCTTTGCTTTTACTACATTTGATCTTATCAGGTAGGTTTCTCTCACTCTGAAGTGGATGCAGAAAAATGTTCTCCAAATAAATAAAAGTAATCAGTATTGAGCCCAACTACAATTCTCAGTGTAGCTGAGGTACAGATTGCATCTTGGCGTGGCCTTTGTTGGATTCAAATGTTTGAAATGCTTTGGCAAAAGTGGTTAAAACCCCCTTAGTAATGAAATGTCAGTATATCAAGTTGCAGTTTTGCTGCAAGGAACTTTCTCTGAAACGTTTAATATCACCCAAAAAAATCATCACGATTTTTATTCATTTTATCTACAGAAGACTTCTATTAAATTCAATTCATAAACTACTTGCACAAGTGGTGTTTGGTATTGTGTGCATGCACTTTCTGTTGTGAACACTGGGATGCATATATTTGTTTAGGGATGTATGTATTTTATGTAGATAGTTTGATAATGAGGTTTAGTGTCTATTAAGATCCCTTCTCGTTGTTTTCTCCATTTCTCTTCAACTGAATGAAGGAAATGCTATTGTGAATTTGTTTCTCTTTTGCAGATGGATGAGAAAGAGGGAAGTGCTTCATTACTTTCTAAAATATATAGCCAGAATCAAAATGCAAATTTTACACAGTCTGTGGAGTCAACTGGAGAAGTAAAGACTACAAAAGCATGTTTCAGTGCTAATAAGTATAGCAAGGTGGAAATGAAAATGCTAAATATGCCCAAAGCTGGTAAGATGCTCTTTCTTTTTTTACTGCCATGTATCATAAGAAAACTTTAATGCTTATGAATGATACACTATTTAGTAAACTTTTATGAAGTACTAATATAAGGGTCATGCAAAGGTGGCATTATTTGGTGTTCTACTGGCTGGAGAGTGAAAGAAACAAACATTAGATGATTTTTATTTTTTAAATAGAAAATAAGTTGATGTTTTAGAAGCCAGTTGGAAGTGCTGCTATTCAGGTGTATGTCTTCCAGAGAGTACTATAGTCAACTTGCTCTAATCCAGAGTTATATCAAGATGAGAGTCAGGATACCCTCAATAGTGGAGAAGTGGTATAATTTGGAGACCTTGTTGGCCTCATGCAGAGAATGCTAACTGTCCTGAGTGGATTCACATTTTTCAGAACTCATGAGGGTTTCTTTACTTCAGCACAAGATCTGAGCTGTTTGCTTCAGTGTCTCCAGCAGGCACTCAAGGTTCAAGCATGGGCTGCTAACTCTAGTGTAGCATCAGAGGGGAACTGCTTCTGTTCATCCATGTCTGTACACTTACTCATTTGTTACTCCCGGTAATGAATATTAATGGAATTACAGAATGGTTTGGCTGGAAGGGACCTTAAAGATCATCTAGTTCCAACCCCGCTGCCACGAGCAGGGACACCTTCCACCAGACCAGGTTGCTCAAAGCCCCGTCCAACCTGGCCTTGAACCCTTCCAGGGAGGGGGCAGCCACAGTGCCTCTGGGCAGCCTGTGCCAGTGTCTCACCAGCCTCACAGGAAAGAATTTATTCCTTTATCTAATCTAAATCTATCATTTTTCAGTTTAAAACTGTTACCACTTGTCATATCACTACACTCTCTGATGAAGAGTCCATCCTCACCTTTCCTGTAGCCCCCTTTTAAGTACTGGAAGGCTGCTGTAAGGTCTCCCCAGAGCCTTCTCTTCTCCAGGCTGAACAACCCCAACTCTCTCAGCCTGGCCTCATAGGGGAGGTGCTCCAGCCTCCTGATCATCTTTGTGGCCTGCTCTGGACTTGCTTCAAGAGGTCCATGTCCTTCTTATGTTGGGGTAGTATATTACTCTGAAAAGCAAGGTAGTCAGCACTGCAAAGATACTGGAGTGTCTGAACTGTAGCAAATGTGCTTTGATGGATCTGAATGACTGTGGGGTTGAGTGCCTTCAATTCCCACTCTTCATGTGCCCTGACCACAGATACAGCACAGCGACATTCTGCATTGAGCGAATGCAGGTGTCTGACCTCAGGAGCCAAGAGCCAAGCGCATCTTGAAAGCGTTGCACGTGAGCTGGGTTACTGACATTGCTGGATGAAAATCACTCCTCTTGGAGCCAGCTCAGGCATTTCGACATCTGTCTTTACAGTTAATTCACTCTTGTTTCCTTATAATTAATTATACTGATAATGATCTTTCTCTTTGTTTAAGGGTTCATTTAGTTGGTAATACTTTGTGTAATGGGTTGAGTCTTAAAAGAGCATTTCACGGCTGCTTATCACCTTGATTCCATAACGGTTGGAATTATAATGCAGAAGGCTTTAAAAAAGTTGTATTTAATTTTGTTTGTGATAAGAGCTGCTAAATCTGGAAGCCCGATAGAAGCAAAGCTGCCACAGCTCCACGTCCCAAGGTCCAGCCAAGAGTGAGGCTGAGCACATATTCCCAATAGGTACACATATGTGCAATATGTACATACATACATATACACATGGCTGGTAACATAGGCCAGTAGACAGTGAGCACAGCACTCAGGCAAACACAAGCAGCACCAATGAACACATCCTGTCCCCTCTCTGGCTGATCAGGGTGAAAGCCTGTTTGTGGAAAATAAATGAACATATATATATCTATATACAGATATACACACACAGAGAATATAGATCCCTCCAGTAACCGATTTTGTGCACTCAGTATATCCAGTAGCTGGCTCCTTGATTTGTCGGACACCCCAGCTGTGGGTGTGTGGGCACATGAACCACAAAGGCCCACAGCTCCCAGCTCAGTTGCTGGTACTCAAACCTGTGCTCCCACAGGTAAAACACAATAGGTCCCTCCAGTATTTGGTCTTAGACGCTTGATCTACTTAGCGATGGGCTCTTGGATCCGCTGGTCTCCCAGATGCCCCGTGTACAAGCGATGCGTACGTACAAGCATGTGTCACTGCTAGTGAGACTTACCAGCAGCCAACCCCCAGATATCCTAGTCTCTCCAGTAACTCACTTGGACTTGCTGGTGTCTCCAGTATCCAACTCTCAGACTCTGGTCTCTCACAGCTGTTCCAATAGTTGGCTTCCAAGCCTCTTAGCCTACTTGCCAACTAGTCTAGCTTGGTGTTTGCTAGCAATCACATGCTGAAACACATACCCAGGCAGTACGTATGCATGGGCTCTGGTCTGTCTGCTTGCTGGCACATCAGGTACCTGGGCCTTATGACATCTGTGTAGTCCAGCTCCAGCTGCTGGCATGTGCCCTTCCATGCACACTTATGCACACAGACTAGAGTCCCTTCACCCAGGAAAACATTTAGAAATGTAGTTTAATAAGAAGATGGGACAGACTGTGGCAACAAGGTGCGGAGCACTGCTGGACAAGCATACTGACCGGTCACCTGTTAAAAGGTGGCTGCTTTTTTCCTTTTATTTTCCTATGCTCGTTCTTTCCTGAACCACCTTCCTCTGTCCGTTTTCATTTGTCCTTGGTTTTTTTACCTTCAAAAATCTCATTGTAAGCCTTGTGCAATCCTCAGATGCCCCTTCTAGCATCTTATGAGCTCCAGGCCTCAGTAGGTAGCAATCCCCTTCATTCTGTAAGGTGTGCTGGGGAGACCTTCCCACTGACTCTTCTGGTTGGGTTTCATCCCCAGAAAATGGGGGTTTCTCAGTTCCCTGTGACAGTCATGAAAGGATGCTGCCATTATCATCTTATGCGACCCAGAATATACGCACTCAGTTTGGCAGAGCTAATGTGGGAAAATGCAGCCTCCTTGTATGTCTTAAGTCCTTCTGGTCTGGGCTTTTGTGTTTATCTGGCGCATGCCTTAACTTCCAGTTCTTCTGATGAAACTCATGCTTGCAGAAAATTTTCAGTATGTATGGGACAGGTTGTTTGAGTGGTCCTTCTTCCCTATAGGTACATCTGCAAAAATTTCTGTCTGCCGGTTCTGTCTAACAGTGTACTCGAAAGATAACTAGTGGATTTATTTCCAAAATAATCTGGGAAATCAGCAGTTTTCCCAACAAAATGTTGTGAAGTGGAAAAGATACTAAATGCTTTTTCAGTATCACGAATTCCAGATGCAACTGGTATGCGTTCTCTGATGATTTGAGAAAAATAAGCAAAAAGTTGTGGAGTGAGACTGGGTGAGCTATTTCTGTTGATGTTATGCTGCTACCTTTCTGAATGGCTGGACAAGCCATTTTGTGCCAAAGCCCTTCTATGTCTGTAGAATGGGGCTAACCCTGCAAGTCTTTGTAAAGCCGTGATGAAATGTGGTACAAAATAAGGATATCTAATGTCAGTGTTAGTTCTGGACATCAGGTTCGCTGGTGATGCAAGCACTGTACTGTGAAAACAATCCTATATTGAGGCTCTGTTAAATCTTAAGTAATTTCTTAATAACGTAGATCTTCCAAGATAGCTTCTGCCAGTTACGTCACTTTTGTCTGCTATTCATTGCAGCTAATGTAGCAATTATGTAGATTGTGTAAACCATAACCTCCTTTGTAGTGTGAAATTGTTTTGTCAAAGCTGGTTTTGGTATGAAATTCAGAAGTAATGGAAACCAGTTGTGAAAGTCAGAGTCAGTTTGAGTTTTTTATTGTTATTAATATTGTAATGGAATTATAGCTGACTGCCAGTCTCTGCAGCCGAAGAAGACTTCTCTGTTAAAGGGACATTAAAATAATATAAAGACTGAAAAAGTCTAGTGTGGGCATTATTTTGGTTTATTGCCTCCATATAATTTAATGCAGATGAAAAATTGCTTGTTAGCTTTATATCATGCTCAAAGCTGCTGTGTTTGGGTTTCCAGTGCAGCAGTGGAATGTGTAAATAAATACCCCAGTTTCCACTGAAATTCTTGAAACACCTGCGGACCATGGGACAACTGCACTGTTCACAGAGCTAATCTTTCTGAAACCCAGCCCTGAAAATGCTGTGCATTCTTTTGAAAAAACTTATCTGACACATGGTGTCCATTTCCTGGAATAGGCAAGTAAGGATTTGATTAGATAGCACCAATCTAAAAATTATAGCATATCTGGCTTAAAAAAATACTTGCTTTTATAGGCTGCTTTTCAAAATAAACTTTTTCCTAAGATTTCACTAATAAAAGTAATGTCTAAGGGACTGAAATTCTGTGAGATGAGCTATTGCCAAAGACGTTTTAATAATTCAGCTGTTGCTGAGTGAAACCTACCTATGTGTTCTAACTTTAAGGCAGTTTGAACTGTCAGATATTGAACATGCTGTTCAACAGGCAGTTAGTTTACTAATGGTGATTATGAGTTGTGAATACTGGAAAATGATGTTTCTCCATAAAAACATACCTTTGTAGAAAAAATGAACTTACTACTGGTTTATGAATCAGTGTTTGCTTGTTTATAAGAGGCAAACAGCACAGCAGTCTCTTTGGTACCTTTGTTTTGTATTCAGAATATAGTATCTGTTGACAGCCACAACGGATGTGTGGAGGGGAAATTATTTGACATTGTCATTAGTGGTTTTTCTCACATGCCTCCAAAGAATTCTGTCAGATAGGTATGTGCGCTCTTTAAAAATGAAAGTTACTGTAACATTCCTGAACTATTTAATAGGTATTGAAAACAAAATCATAAATGTGTTTCGATGGATATTATTGCAGCTCTTAAAAGTGCTTGGTTTCTATTTGTCCTCATTGCATTCCGAGGACCTATAAGCAATAACAAAAAACTACAGGTAATTTGAATTTGAAGAAACAATGGACAGGCAGATTTCTGAACTATATTTAGTA